ATATATATATATATATATATATATTGCAATAAATAAGTTGTTCGAATCGATCATTCATGAAGAAGAGCCTAATTTTTCTTTGTAATCGAATCATAGGATGGAGGAAAAAATGCGACATAACATCGAACTAGTTTTCAATTTTTTTTGCGTAAGCGATTGCATGCAGCTGAAAAGTTATCGAGATCTAGCTCCGATAGATAAAAGCAAAGATAATCAATTGCAATTTCACAGAAATCTTCACGACATTACTAGATAGTAAATTTTTACGTACAACTCCACGGTCTTCACCTTTCATCCTAACATCGTCCTTATAATTCAATTATCGTGTCGAGAATGTTTTGCGAAACGTGTGAAGCCACGACTGAACGAGCGGTTACGTTTATCTACGATTTAGAATGATACAGAAATGAGAAGGATTATCTTTTGATAAAAATGTATCGATCTTGAAGACGGACGCTATAATGTGAATACATTAAATTCTTTGGTTTTCGCTCATGTCGCGAATTATTCAACACGATTACGAAATAATATCTTTCGAGAGTGAATAAAATTAACAGAATTTCTTCGAAATGTCCTTCTAAGAATTTTCTAATGAAACATCACCGGCTTGACACGTTAATCGTTACTATTATCGTAATTGTCGATGTATATGAAATACTCGTGTGTATTCTTTTCCTGATCAAAAAAAAAAAAAAATTCTTCTATGTCTACGAATCCAAACGAAAATTCGTTTATTAAGTATTAAAAAAAAAAAAAACGTTTGACTCCAGAGCGAGTAAGCTGGATTCATTCGTTCTATTGTCTTGAATAGATTTCGAAACGTTATCGGTCATAATCACGATTGACGAAGAATTGTTGCACTCACTCGCAGGCTGGACCAGGTCCACTCGTCGAAATTATTCGGCGAGACAATCCGGCCATCGTCCATGTGTAGAGAATTCAAGGATGCACGAGTGACCAGTCCCACGTCCATTTTCCTCGAGGGACTATTCTCAAGTTTCTATTCTTTTTTTTTTCTCTCTGCCGATCAAAGAGACACACTCGACGAAGATGACCACGACGACAATGATGATGATGATGATGATGATGATGACGATGATGATGACGATGACGATGATGATGATGACAACAGTAACGACAAGGATAGCGACGACCTCACAGTTGTTTGATCCATCGCGGCTACAATCCACGACCAGACTGATCGTATGTGAAAATGACTCACCCTGAATCGACTCTCGGCTCACTGGCCGTGTGCTTCGTGTTCTGCCGTGCCGCCTCTAAAGCACTACAGTTACAGTTATATCGTATTATCGTGATAAGGGAAAATGGGC